TATGCATAATTCAAAGATCCTTTGGTGAAAATATATATTTCTTTGTGGATTTATGATGGCTTTTTTTAGTTCCCGGAAGTGTTAATATCTGGTAAAGGTAGCGAGTCACAAGTATGCAAATGACTATTATGCAAACTTTCGCATACGTGCTTATATTACTACAACTTCTTGTAAACCCTTGTATATTTGACGTGCTATAAGCAGCAAGCTTCTGTATGTATCCTTTCGGACCCCAGTCACAATATGTGTGGATACGGACCATGTGCCCGCGTTTTGCTTCTTCAGGAATGTATGTCGTAACACTGATTACCGGTTATTTTTAACGTCTGATTTAAGGGTTCCGGCTGTCATTCTGAGTTTCATTACGAGTTCCTTGTGGCAGATTAAATAGAATTTCATAAGTTCATGGGTACATGTTATAAGCTGCAGATGAAAATGTTGACCTGTGTTAGCACAAGCTGGAACGCTAAGTCTAACACATAAAATTTAACACCATCAACTATTCATAACAAACAACATATAAGAATATACAATAAAAAGCCCGGAAGTATAAAATCTCAGATTTTACTTGTATTCTATTCTAAGCTACGTACGTGTACTCAGAGTACATTGTGTGGTAAAACCTTAAGTAGACTGTCAACATCTATTTTCCCATTGAAGTAAACACACAAACACACACATAAGAGACACGTGTCATTGGTGAGAAAATTATATTTTCGTTACATCACAAATTGTTAACACAGTGTATGTGTTGTGAGCACTAGTGCTGTCATCCGACCATACATGTATGTATGCCTCGGTATCAAATTACTATATAACACCCATAACTAGAAATTAAAGGTAACATGTGCAAGGCAAGTGCATAATGTTTACCTTTGCATATGGTTTGCTCTGTTACTAGTAATTCTTTCTCAAACACATCCATACATATGGTCAGACAGGAGTCTAAATCCCTCCTGCTGTAAAATTACAACATGATGTCACCCAACACCAGTTACCATGGTGAGAGACGTCAACAAATCAGGTCATAAGCCCGGTCAGAGTCAGTGTTTGGAACAGAAGAAGAAAAAGAAGAGGAAACGTAACAACACAATTTTCCTTCGGTAAACATAATAATATTCAAATAGCGTGTTTCCCACTAAAACATTCTGGAGCGATGGATCTAATAAGTGAATTTATATGAACTATAGAACTAGTTCGAATTTCAATCACAGATGCTGCAGTTAGATCTCACTTTGATATACCTTAGTCTCTACCAACTACGCTGGCTATATATAGGAGAATACATTTGCCAGGGGAGTTTGGCCGCAGTTAGAGAAAGAAACAACCTTCCCCGGCAGGATTCCCTTGGCCAATTTTACAATCCTTTTGACGAATTCTACGATCCGGTGGGGGCTAGATACTAGTATACGGCATGTGTATGTGTCCTGGTGAAAACGTATACATAGCTACCTCAGAACTGAGAATTGAGATACATTGTATATTAACGTGAACAAAGTTTTAACGCTAAAATATAAAGTCTAAAACTAAAACAACTAAAAAAGGCTCATGTGATGGAAAAAAACAAGCCGGAGATACATTTGGTGTGATGTGAAATAACCAGGGTAGTGTCTAATCAGGGAATGGTTCCAGCTGCATGGTTCCCGTGAAGATCCGTGAATAGTTTCATCAGGTTGGTAAGGACACTAGCTGAGTGAAGACACTCTTTTTACACAACCAAGTCTTTTATATTCAACCGAACTTTTGGTGACCGTCTGTCACCTTTCTCAGGGCAATTCTGACTGGTTCACATTTCACTGCAGCACAGGTGTCGCAGGAACCGCATTGTAGATACAGTTCCCTGTAATCACGCATATGTGTAGATATGTAACTAGTGTACGTTTAGGAATGCATCTATAGCAGCGACACCTGTGCTGTAGTGCAATGTGAACCAGTCAGAATTGCCCTGAGGAAGGTGACGGACGGTCACCGAAACGTTGGCTGAATAAAAGACTTGGTTATGTAAAAAGAGCCTTCTTTACTCGGTTCCTGAATATGTTTTTAACCGTAAATGGTCTGTGGTTGTCCCCAGACTGTTTTACAACCTGGTCCCTTGGTCAGTAGGTGGAAGCCCTCTGGCTACAGGCGACAACTCCACGTCGAAAGCGGCCTTGTCCTGAAGATGGAGAAAATTGCCATGTGAAGATTATTTAGAGACGGTGATAGGTGGTGCATACACATACACAAAACAGGTATACACGCTCGCGCACATACACATAAGCGCGCGCGCACGGACGCACACGCATATGCAAACGCACACACGAACACTTAGTCACACACACAAACATGCAGTGTGAAGGTGTGCGTCATCTAAAAACAAGCAAACAAACAACCAAACACACACGCATACTCGCGCGTGCGCACATGGTATGGGGTCTGTCCTTGGTGCTGATTGGTTACCGGTCGTTTAAGAACTTCTTTTGGTGACGTTCTTAGCTCTTAATGTTTAACGGAATAATAACGTTTTTACTGTTAGACAAGCACTATCCCATCCATATATGTTGGAATAGGTTTGAGCTGTAATTTTAAGAGTGGACTTACCAAAATTGTCGATTGTCCAGTATTTGTCAAAGAATAAGCAGTTCACCGCTTCTGGGTAAATAAGTCTGATTTCTTGTGTTTGAAATGACAGTTCAAACCTGTTCCAGAATAGTTTTTACCAATTAATGCAGATGAATCTTCAAGCCAACCTTTCAATTTAAACTAATATTCGCTTTTTTAATTTAACTATATTTTCAAATTTTATGAATGTATATAGTTTGTCAGAATAGGCCTCGCAATTCAGTCATCACAGCTGCCAGGAGGCTTGTGTGTACATTTTCTTGTTCTTGTAATAAACCATTCTACTTCTACTAACCTATATATGTATGCTACATACGCTCACTTTGACGGACTTTTACGGGTGATGGAAGCTTCACAACTTACCCACTCGGGTTCCCCATGCCTGACTCCACAGCGCAGCCACTTCAGCCAGCGGTTCGGTAGGTAGCAGAACAAACTAACGTAGAACGGCACGATCAGTTTAGGGTCCACTTTCTCCGGATCCTGTGAGCCTGTTAACAAAAAAATCTATAATACAAGAGTTTGACGACTTCATTCAAGACAAGGCTTTGATTTATTGCTTGGTCATTTACTTGATACATTGATGCAGACTCTTTTGCAGGCTGAATAAATAATAGAAATCTGCGTAAAATAATGTAGGTGGGCAGGGGAGCTGGCCAGCCATAGAGGGCCCAGTTTGCGTGCAAAAGAGTCTGGTGGAGACTAAGCTTTCGAAGGCAAAGTTATCTACGGGAAGTTGTCTAACCCCGACTGCTACAAGAAGTTTCTGCCAGTTTTCGTCGACAAGATTGACCGCAGATATGTTTCACAGGTTCTTCAGGAGTGTCGCGTACAAGCCAATAGAATATCCTGCTAGATATGGACGGGAAAAACTTGAAATACTGCTGTCTAAGGTTGTAGGCAGGGCACAGCCTCAGAGAAGTGTGCACCAAAGAAATCCCCCCTCCCCACCTGCAAAGCAAATTTTATCTGCGTTAAAACATATGACCTAATCAGTGCTACGTTTGTACTAGTCAATCCCTGTCAATGATTAATTCTATATGCTTGTTTACTATCATTTACTAGAGTCAATAAAGAATCTCGTAATGTCACCTTATCTGTTTTAACTATGCATATTTTTGCTTTGTGTAATTTAATAAATACTTCGTGTAAATAAGCAAATATTAAAAGCATACACCCCTGTGACCCTCTATGGTATAGCCCGTCTATGACGTACCTACTGTTCAGGTGTAACTGATGACGTGCTTGTTAAACGCTCCACGATTGGTGCAACCTGTTGGTAGGTTGCCGTAATAAAGCAACAATAAACACGCTATTTTTCAAATATACAATCATATAATGTGTTGTGAAGATTTGAGCACTGAAAGACTTGTTTTAGCTCGGCTACTCGAAAGACAAGTGATTACGCAAACACTATTATCAACCAATGAGAAGGCCCGTAACAAATGCTACCTTGCTCACCGCAAAGTTTGACCTAACTAAAAGACGGAACCGTTATTCAGCCCGTAGGACACCTGCCGAAAATGCACTTGATTCTACTGAAGAAAGGTAAGTTTTGTAAAATGTACGTTTTATACAAGATGACAAGGTTACTGACATCGATAACTAGAACGGTTTTGAGGGGAAAGTGGCCAAGTTGAACTGTTGTTTCCAAATGTTCAACATAGGTATGTTATCATGCCATGACACGTGATGAAGAACTTTGATCTAAAGCCAACAATGCCGTTATGTTGGAGTCTAGTTGACGATATATGCAGCTACTTGTTTTACTAGCTAACAGAACTTAGCTATACATATGATAAAGCCTGAAAGACAATGCTGACAATATTCGGTAGCAGCGAAAAGTTGTATTTCCATCTGTGGTAGTCTATTTAGAATGTTTGTGACAAACATAGTTCAAAACTCCGTGTCACTTCCAGGTTTGGGAAAAACGGCTCAGGCAAAGGTCACAGAAAAAACTATGCAACTCAAAGCTCATACGAATAAACAATGTCTTTCCTGCATGAGACCTATCTCAATAGAGATATCGTAACCTGAATATTATGTTATTATTACATATTCGGACGAACCCCCCACAAGGCTCAAAGGTCCACTTTTTGGTCCACTATTAATATAAAGGTCAAAGATTTTTCTTTAACAGGTGGACTGATTCGTATCACCAGCAGGGTTGGAATCGTAGAAAAACTGCTCAGTTTGTCATTGAGGAAAACGTTATGTCTGATTATCCTTTGAAATCTTCTCAAAAACTTACATTTTCAAAAATTTCCGGGGGAGCATGTCCCAGGACCAATTTGGTCTCAGACAGTGGCAAGACCCCCCC